AACAAATGCAATAATTTGTCGTGCCGGTGCCGGTATCGTTGTCGATACGTGTCGGTCCGTGCTGTATAGTCCGAATCGAAAATTCAAATTCTTATTTCGTATCGTTATCATATCGTTATCGTATCGAATCGTCTCGTATCATTACCGTATTGTATCGTTACCGTATCGTATCGTTACCGTATCGTATCGTCTCATATCGTTATCGTATCGTATCATATCATATCGTATCGTTACCGTATCGTATCGTTACCGTATCGTTATCGTAATTATTTGTTATTGTAATTATTAGTTTTTCATTCTGCTAATTATTTGCATTTATAATTCGTTTGTTTAACTTCGTGTTTTCTCACAATCCAAATTATGTTTACATTGTCAAGTAGAACGATACGATAACATGGATGAAATATATTTGTGACTCTAAATATTAAACAACAATTTAGTAATTAAGTCCTTTGTAAATTATAAATTAAAAAATAAAAAAGACATAGAAAACTAAAGTGAAATGTCAAGAATTAAAAAAGTTATCGAGCATCAATATATATTTATATCGCACTGCAATATAATACAAAAAGGAATCAGAAAAGAATATGAAATAAGATATGATACATATAATTGTTTATAACGTTATGTGCGAACTTTTATCCACGTTTTAAATAGTTTGGAGGATTTACAATCATAGTGTGATTTAATATAAGCAAAAAATGAATTGTCGGAAAAACGCATAATTTCAGTCTAGCGTATAAATAACAAATATATCTATCTAAATCTATCTAAATCTATCTAAATATTAAAATAATAATTATTGCCCGTAAAAATCGCAACGTAACGATTATTTAATATTTTAGATTCCTATAATTTAATCGATTCTCGATTAAATTGTATATTGTTTAATTAACAAGGATTGAGAAAATTTAAAGCATTGTTCGAAATATATTTAATTTTAATATTGTAATTAGAAATGTATAACTCTTTCTATTATTAAATTAACATTATAATCTAACATAACTCAGCATACATATCATAATTACAATACTTACAGACGACATCACATTTCCCTTTTCTAATCAAAATATATAAAACGACAACTTTATCACAACACTCTTTCTTAAGTAACAGTTAGATATTTGAATTTACGCATACGCCGAAGTCTGTTTCGAAAAATAATCACCATGGGGAATCCAGCTGTGAAAAAACGGAATGGAATAATGCCGATTGGTTAGCTCCCCACCATTCCACCTTTCCGATTCCGTTTCCGATTATTCCGACGTGGAAGAGCTTAGTACTTGGATCGTGCATGGGATGGCACCCACAAGCTCGAAACCGCGCGCCCATGCACATTCCGTACTGGATATACGTTCTGTACGGCCGGCATCACCAAGTGTCGCGATGCACGTTACAGAGCAACGACTCGGTGAAATATCCAAGTTAGTTGGCATCGGAAGTAGAGACTTGTTGAAATAACGAAATTAGGATTTTGAAAACGTGAAAACGCGATAACGCGAAAATGCTACAACGCGAAAATGCGGTGACGAAACGTCGCCGTCCGCGGCACGTTGACGGCACCGACGACGCGAAAAGATACTTAGCTTCCCATTCAGGCACCTTAAGATTTATCATAAATTGAAAAATTTTAGATAAACTTTAAGGCACGATCCAAGTACTAAGCTCTTCCACCGCGACAAGGTGCACTCCATGGGAGGGTTACATTATATATAAATTTATATATAATATATTATATAATTTGGAATTTATCTAATAATAAAGGATTTAAATAGTAATAAAGTATATAAAGTATATAGTCTAGTAATAAAAAATATAAAGTATATAAAAAATATAAAGTATATAAAGTATATAAATTTAAATTTACATAACAAGACCGTAAAACAAAATCATCAGCTCACTGTTTATGTCCCCAAGGTAGGATACTAAGTTATTGTTAATTCATTGTGGAAATATTTTAACATATTAATGTATCTTATATATCCAACATATTAATGTACCGTAAGCTTAAAAGATTAAATTAATATATATATATATATATATATATATATATATGTATATATAGATCATAACACATAATTAATTCTCTTATCTCCTTGTATGTATCGCCTGTTTCAATTTTTATTTGCAGTAATGAATGATTGCGATAAGAATAAAGATTTATCGTTGCAGAACATTTTCATGTCGTTTATCAAAAGTAATTTTTAATTATTAATAATTATAGCAAATTATGTTTCGATACTAATCGTAGTCGTGTTCAAATTATAATATACGAGGCGTTTCGCACCACCACTTTATTACTCGAGTGTCACCGTGCGAATGATGACAAAGCCCTAACATAGCGCGCTACTGTTTACATTTTATATTGCCAAAGCCGAACATCGTATTATCGATAATTCATTGCCGAGATATTTTATATATTATAAAATATACACTAACGCGGAATATTAAATTATAGAAGTATTTTAATTTATTGATTAAAATTGATAATTTATTAAATAATTCATCATGGAACTTTATGCATAAAATATCTAAATAATATATTATTGTGAAGCAATTTATAAAATATTACTATCTCTATAAAGTATTAATTAATACGAGAACATTTTATAGATATTAAGTATATTAAAATAAAATCCAGAATATTTTATATGTTATACTAATGTAATTTAAAAATTTAAATAATTTAGATAATTTAGAATGAGAGAGAGAGAGAGAGATTCGTAATATAAATATTCGTAAATAAATAAAATGAATTATTGAAAATGAATTATTAAATGATTAAAATAAATAAGATGCAGACCCGAGATAACATCATATAAACAGAATCATTGAAATTGAAATTGAATAGGCGATCTCGGAATCACATCATAAAGTACTTATTGACGTCAGCTGCGTTTCATAAAATGTTTCGCCATCTATTGACAACAATTGATGGTAGTTAAAGAATTAACTATCCATTGATTTTAATAATCTGTTGTTGCAATACAGCGAAAATTAGATTCAAATTTTTTCTCAAAAATATTATATTAGAAGTGACATTGAAAAGATAATTTATTGAATCCAATAGATATTATCAAACTGATATAAATAAATTATAGAGGAATAAATTGTAAACAGATATTAATATTGGAATGTTCTTTACAATATTTCATTAAACATGCATATTTTTGTATTTCATGTAAGATTTGCGCTTTAATGTATTAACTAGTATTAATTATTCTGTAAATTTATAAATATGAACACACACACACACACATATATATATATATATATATATATATATATATATATATACAATTGTAATTTTCTTTTAAGTCTTTTTTACATTATGTTTTACAGCTCTTCCATATTTCAATTATATATATAAATTTTTGTACGTACTAATATTATTCTAAAGAGAATAAATTTTTATAAATTTATAAATATTTGTAAAAATATATATATTATTGTGCATCCATTTAAAGAAAACATTATATAAACACTTGTTTAAATTATTAAAATTATTTTTATGCAGAATATTCTTATGTCTCTTTAATAATACAAAAATATTTTTGGAAATAAAAATGTTATATATCATTTAATGAATGAACTGAATGAGTCACAAGAGAAGACCGATTAATATCACATAATTATTTTCTTATAAATATCATATAATTATTTCCTTAATATTACTTAGCAAAATGTGATTAACGTGTTTATCCCAATTTTTGGAAATAAAATTGATTTATAGCGAGAGAAAGAGAAAATTTAGTTTTATGCACTGATGCACATTAGTGCATTATAAAGGTTGTCATATATAAAATTACAGTAGTATAATTTAAATAATAAAATAATTAATACTATAAGTTGTTATAATATATTATAATATTATAAAGTTATATAATATATAATATATAATATATATTATATAATATATATTATATTAATTATAAAGTTATATAAGTTATTATATAACATTATTTAGTACAAATAACGATAATAATAGCTCGTAGAATTAATTATTTTATTTATTTTTGTTATTTATACAATTTACGTGCTATTGTATATTTATTGTATACTTATTTATATTAGTGTAAAAACGCTGCCGTGTTACGTATCGCTTGATTCAAAATGCATTATGTGAACAGAAAACGTGTAAATCACTTTTTTTAAGTCCTTTATTACTTTTCTTATAATCAGAATATTTTTTTATATAATAAATGTTCTTCTTATGCCAAAGAGAAGGTTACGCAAAAATAAATTAAAATAAGAAGCTAATATTATAAAATAAAATTTATTAAACAGTTATATGTATATAAATATATTTATTTATATATAGAATTATTTTTGTTTTATATATATATATATATATATATATATATATATATAACTTTGTCTTATATATATAAATTTTTTGACAAACAATTCTTAAGGATTTAAATGGATTTCTAAGGATTTAAGTTTTTTTTGAAATAACGAGTGTCTTCGTGGAAAAAAATAAATTACAAACGGAATGGAGGTTAATAAAATGTCATGGTAACAGATCGGATTGACCATTCGAAGTCAGTTATTGCTGTGATCGCTAGCCAAACGCTACCATTTATCGCTTGATTCAAACAGTATTATATGAAGATTAGAGAAACCGTGTAATTGTGTATGAATAGTGGATTTTAAAAAACATAGCACGTAGTAACACAATCGTACGAACAAATTGTCATAATTACATATTTAATAACAGATATAGCAAATATTGAGTGAATTCGATTATACGCTGCGTGTGGTTGAATATGACTGAAAATGTTACAAGATCTATAATTCTATAATTTCTTTGTAATTTTATTGTGGTTATCTTTTTATTGATTGCTTTTCTATTAATGAAAAAGGAAAGCTAATAATAATTATATTCCTGTGTTCGCGATACAGTAAAATATATATGTACCATAGAAATTATTTACTTACTAAGAATTCTCTAATTTAATCTTAGATATATTGTAATTGTGATCATAACGAGAAATCTAAAAACATAATATTAGAAGATAATAACTTGCGATTCGTTAAAATTGACTTTTAAAGAATTTATCGAAAATATATGTATGTATGTGAATTAATATCAATTCGATTAACACATCAGAATTAGTAGAGTGAAAAAAACTAATTAATTGAGGGTTGAACGGAAACCGATTGAGTGCAAACGTTTACCAAAAATGCAAATTATGTTTGGAACAATTTTATGTGTTTTATTGAAAGGTTTAATATTGACAAAGGCAACTATTACGTCGAAGGATGATACCACTTCAAACATCTTTCAGGAAGAAAGTATTTCCATGCATCCGGATTTAAATTTCACGCAGGTAGGAGATATTTTTCGCTTGATTAAGAAACAATTGAATGTTATTGCAGCTAGCAGTATGACTAAAAATGAATGAATAAATTATATATTCTATCTATATAATAAGATAAAATAAAATAAAACAATTCAATATAAAAGTAAAAAATATATATGATGTTGTAAAAAACAGATAGATAAAGTTTCGAAATTTTGTTTATAAATGAATGTTATATAGTATATTGAATTTAATTAAAACGATATTTTAAAATTTGACTATGTATTTTCTCTCTTTATTTCTCTCTCTCTCTCTCTCTCTCTCTCTCTATATATATATATATATATATATATATATATATATATGTAATTATATATATAATTATTATTTCCGGAAATAACAATTTTTAATTTTAATGAAGTTTTCTGTCTGCTATCTGCTACATTAGTATATACATATGATGACATTTCAATAGATTTTTATGTTATTTTTCTTCAATTTCTAAAATTTTTTTATCTTTCTAGATATTTACATTAATATATACATATGATGACTTTTCAATAGATTTTTATGTTATTTTTCTTCAATTTCTATATTTTTTTATCTTTCTAGATATTTATGATATTTATAATATTTATTGATATATAGTAAGATTTATACTAATGTAGATTTTATTATAAGAAATTAATTAGGAAAGTTAGCTTGTTAAGAGTAATTATATAAAAACGGAACAGAGCTAAATATCGAGATAGAATATATGTCTAATCAAAAAATCATTCATCAAACATTCTTCAAACTGTATCTATTAACATTAATATTTCGATCGACAATACATTCGATAACAATTGCTAGAATTTATATTAATTTTCATTGCACATATATACATTTATATACAATTACATGCACATATTCTTATCGAATTATCGGTTTATACTATCGGTTTATATTATCATTTTCAGGATTTGATTGTTAAAAATATAACGACACTCGAGAAAAAATTGACAAGGATATAAATAAAAGAATATATATAATTTCTATGACTAACATTTAATAACTGTAAAGAAACAATATTTTTAACCTTTTTATGCTTGAAGTACAAATATTAATAGAACTTTAATAATATCAGAAAATTTTTGAAAAAAATTTAAGTTACGTAAAATTGAGAAGAGTTAACTAACCTATCATGAGAAAGAATCAAATCGTTAGACAAACTGGTTTTAATAATTGCAAAGAACTACACTTTCGCCTCTACTACTTGCTAAAAGCTGTTATGATTCGTCATTGACTCTTGTTAACCTATATTGATTGATTTTTTTTTTATATGAGTTATAAATAGAGGTTACAATATGAATAAAACTACATCGCATTGCATATATATCATTTAGGAATGGTTTATATCAAACCGGTATTATTAAGCAAACAAAAAACGAATGGTAATTTTTCTTTTAATTTGATAATTTATATAATTTATCATTAAAAGCTCTAGAAACAACCGCTTCAACGATATTCATTTTATAATTCTTTTTGTATGTTACACTTTATGAAGAATATTTCAATGTCCGAGAAAAATTATCATCGTATACTAAATTTCAAATCTGACCGGAGTCATTCTGATAGTACTGTGAGAAATGAGCGAGAAGTCGATGAAGTTACACTTGCAAATATTTCTATCATCCCAGAATCTATTGGTAAGATACAAAAAATGCATCAAACATTACTAACATAATCTATGACGAAAAAGTGTAAATACAATTTAAATTTAAGAGAGAGTGGAAATAAATTTAAAAATACCTTTCAGCAGTGAAAAAAAATATAAATTCTATTTTGTCGAAAAAAGAAATAAAAAAACATAATATAAACATAACATTGTACATAAAAATTGTCATGATTTAAAGTAAAGTCAATTTGATTAATTTGCTACTTGGTTTTAAAACAATCACAAATATTATACTCCTGATTTCTTAAACTGTAGAAATTTTTCGAAAAGTACTTGTCATTTTATTAAAAGTTATTTATTCGTTTTTGCTATGTATTAACAATTACTTTTCTAAGTCTTAAATGACACAAAAATTTTTCATATTATTTTCATATTATTTTCATTTTCATATTATTTTATTTTTTAAAGATCATTACTGTGCTAATTTTCATATTTTATAATTTAGATTTATTTTTCCTCTTTCCTTTATTTTCACATTAAATTGTTCTTTTTGATTTACTGAGATATCCACATAATTATTAATATAATTATGTTAATATGTACAATCTACTCTAGAAAACAATTTGGACAAGCCAACATCTCTCAGAGCATTTGTACAATTCGACAGTCAATTCACAGAAAAAGTAAACGACATTTTTGTGACATTGAGGTAAAGAATCTAAATTATCAGTTTGTATTCTTTCATTTTTCTCTCTTTTCTTAAATTCAACGACATAAATATATCAAAATGTTAATTCTGTTATAATTTTACTAAATATAAAAAGACTGAAATGTTATTCTTTTATAGATGGAACCAACTTAACTTTACCAATGAAATAATACAAGGGTACACGGTGCAGTGTTTTTTCATCGAGGATTTAAAAGAGATTCAAATCTGCGAGGATAAAAATATCACAACTACAGAATTGGAGCACACGGTTCACAATCTAACATTTAACACGACATATTATTTTCGAGTACGTGCGCATACTAAAATTGTTGCTGGACCTTACACGGATTTAATCAATGTGTCGACTACACATGAAAATCCAATACCTAAATTATTAGTAACAACGTCTCTAGGTATCCAAATATGGGACATGGATTTAAATATTACTAATTTCATAGTGTCGTTCATTTATGAAATTAGGTTTACTCACTCTGAAAGGTACGTATACTGATAAAAAAATTATTTATAATTATCATAAATTATTTTTAGCACTAACTATAAAGTTAAAATTATTATTATTATGCACAAGTTTATATATATCAACATTATAGTAGTAATGACTAAAATAGTTATAATAGTAACATTACTGCAGTAATAACTAAAATTAGAAATCTCAACTATTAAAGAAAAAACTAAAATTTAAACTTAAATTTAAACTAAAATAAATCTCAAGAAATCTCAACTTTAATTAGAAATCTCAACTATAATTTTTTTACTAAACAATTACAGTTGACATCTTTTTTCAGATCAATAATAAATGCCCCTGGAGGACACAAATATAAAAACTATTTTATTCTTAAGATGATAAGCCAAAGAGGAGGCCTAGTAACATCGAAGATTAATGAAAATAAAATCACAAAAACAGCTAGCTTTGTTAATTATCTATATGATAAGTACGTATACTGATAAAAAAATGGTTATAACTATCACATTATTCTTCTATCTCTTCTCTATTCACTATAAAGTTAAAGTTACTATATTACTACGTACATGTTTATTATCAATATTATAGTAATAATAACTATAAAATTAGAAATCTCAATTATAATTTTTTTATTATACAATTATAGTTGACTCCTTTTTTCAGATCAGTAATAAATGCCGCTTATTCGATACAAGAACATAGAATTTATTGGAGTATCTTTGAAAGAGAACTAATAACACTGATTAATGAAAATAACATTACAAAAATAGCTACATTTGATTATGATCTACATGCTCTCTGCATTGACTGGGTAGCAAGAAATCTATATTGGTCCTATTCAGAGTCAGACTACTATTACATTGTAAAGTTGGACTTAACATTGTGGGAAAATGGCATGATTAAACTTGATGAGATTTTCAAATCAGAAATTGATAATGGCTATTTAAGTATATCGCCGTTTATGGGGTACGTTTACTACCGTTTACTACCATTCGCCTAAAAAAATAATTTTCTATTAAAGATTAATGCAAATTTGTAATTTTTCTATAATTTTACATGGTTTTATACTTAAGATTATAAGTAAAAAAAATAATAAGTTATATAATTATAAGAATTTCGAATTTTTACCACATATAAATTTCTGTTTTTGTTAAAATAATGTTTTATAAGAGTGAGTAAAATAATTATATCTTTTTTAGAATTTTATATCACATATCATACAATAGGAAGAATCGAGAATATGATATGATGAAATATCATCTCGATGGAAAAAACGAACAAATTGTTCAGATAAATGCATCCTTTTGCTTATTTCATTATATAGATTTTTTTCGTGATATGGTAATTGATAACATGATTAATGAAGAGCCGTTAATTTACTGGTTAAGTGAGAATTATACAACTGTAACAGACATTAACGTTTCTATGTGCAATACGATTTTATACAAGAAAAACGTAGGTGATAACATCAATTTCAAATCTATGACGATTGATAAAACAAACATTTACATTTTAGCAATTGATTCGCTCCAATATATTCTTTACGTTTTGAAAAAGAAATACGCAAGTCTCAAGAGCGTAAAAGCAAACAAATATGTTGAAAAGATATTAATAAGCTCACATAAAAATGATTTTTATAGTATTTACGCTTTTAATAAATATTTACAACCATATCCTCCAATGAGATGTCTGACACCTGACGAAAAAGTCAAAAAAATTTATAATTTTGAGAATGTGACTGCAACGGCAAACAGCATCATTGTAAATTTACCGGAGCCGGTTGTAAAGAGTGGATGCAAAAAATATAATTTACCAACTACTATATATACTATCTTTGTAAGTCATTGTTTAGACAACAACCTCAACAAGTCTGAAGAATTCAATGTGCTGACAGCCGAGCGATATTACGAGATTCAGAACTTAACACCATTTACAGAGTACAAGTTGAAGTTTACTTTAAGCAATTTTTACTTTGATCAATTATCAATAAATCCATTCGATTCGAACGTGATACGAATAAAAACTAATTTGGGCAAGCTTAATGTACCAGAAAACATAAGTGTTTTAGCTTTGACGCCTACTATAGCAGTAGTTCATTGGATGCCACCCAAGAAATTGAACTGCGTGGTTGTGACCTACGAAGTGCATTGGAAGTTAGTGAACGACACGCAACAGCAGAATAAACAATTTATCAATGTGCCGAAACGTGTGGCAGACGGCAGATATTTCACAAAGATTAACTTATCGCTACCAGTACAAGATTATTTGATATACGTGCGTGTGTATCCAAGTAATTTCAGTGATTTCTACAACGAGTGTTTTAGCAAGATCGATCACATATACTCAGAACCAAATAATATTACTTTGAGCGGGGTCACCATAAATAGCATGAACATTTCATGGATCTCAAACATCAATCTGACGGTTTTTTTTACACTAGAGTTCAAAGATATTGCAGCAGAAAAGTGGCAAACAATGGAGTATATTAAAATGAATTATAACAATGAAATGAGATATCATTTCGGAAAGTTAAAATCGGGAACTTTATACAAGTTTCGCTTGATATTAAGATATCCCGAATATGAGGAAGCTTTTACATGGCCGACTGATGAAAGATTTATTTTTTCAACACTTAGTAAGTAACCGTAAATACTCATACAGCACAATAAGATTGCATAGATATATTGAAAAATAATTTTATTGAAATATTGAAATATTGCAATAAAATATATATTGTAGCAACAATGCAGTGGAATATATTTGGAAGGATGCAATGTTATTGCAACCATTTAATAATATTACGTATAGAATATTCTTGTTTCTGACAGATAATTATCTCGGAAGCATATATGTATAATTAAATTAAAAAGCTTGATATAACTAGAAGTTTCCAATGATTTCATATCTAATATAATACAATATAATATATTATATATATATATAATATATTATATTATAATATATAATATTATAATATTATATTATACTATATTATAATATATAATATTATAATATATATAATATATTATATAATATATTATATTATATTATATTTGATATGAAATCATTGGAAACTTCTATTATGTTTAAATATAATATTGCAATATATATATATATATATATGTGTATATATATATATATATATATGTGTATATATATATATATATATATGTGTATATATATATATATATATATGTGTGTATATATATATATATATTTATATATATTGTAATATTATATTTAAACATAATCATATAACTAAAATATAAAATATTATATTTTGGATATAAAATTACTTTAAACTTTTACTTATACGAATCACTTTTTTTTATTTTAAATGTTCCATGAATTGTTGTAATGGGGTACAAATATATAAACATTAATTGGAATTCATTATACATTCATAACTAATTATAGTTTTAGTTTAAAAATTTCAAAAATACAATTACATATACTTGCATGTGAAATATACATAAAAATGCATCGAAAAGTAAAAATAAAAAATTATAATGTTAGATAATATATTACCTATTCTCTTAATATAATTAAAAAAATGTATTAAAAATATATCTTTGAAAATCTATTAAAACCATATTTGTATGAGTGTATTGAAAATATACGAGTATGTATAAACTATACGAGTATGTAACAATGATATAAAATGTTATTTGTATTCTTTAATAAAAAAAAAAATAGCAATTTTTATCTTCAGCTTAGAATTATATGTTTTTTTAACACGACCGATTATTTCTGTGCCATTAATTCATTTAACTTTATGTGCAAAAAAATAAAGTTCATCCCATATATACAATAAAAAAATAAATAAATATAAGAAAATATATGATTACATATATATGTGTGTGTGTGTGTGTGTGTGTGTGTGTGTGTGTGTGTGTGTATATATATATTATTATTATTATTAATTTGCTACTTTGTTTTAAAGTAATCGCAAGTATTATACTTCCGATTTCCTAAGCTATAGGAATTTTTCAAAAAGTACTTGTCATTTTATTAAAAGTTATTTATTCGTTTTTGTCTTGAATTAACAATTACTTTTCTAAATCTTAAATGACGCAAAAAATTCTTATAATATTTTTTTGAAGATCAATATTGTATTAATTTACATATTTTAGTTTAATACCATAGTTTAGATTTTTTCTCTTTCCTTTATTTTGACATTAAATTGTCCTTTCTGTGATTTATTGAAATAATCCGCTTAATCTTATATATATTTGTGTTAATATGTACGATCTTAAAATCTCTAGACAGCAGTTTGAACAAGCCAACGTCTCTCAGAGCATTTGTACAATTCGACAGTCAATTCACAGAAAAAGTAAACGACATTTTTGTGACATTGAGGTAAGGAATCTAAATTTTCAGTTTGTATTCTTTCATTTTTCTCTCTTTTTCTTAAGTTTAACGACATAAATATATCAAAATGTTAATTCTTTTATAATTTTGTTAAATATAAAATGGCTAAAATTTTATTTTTTTACAGATGGAACCAACCTGAATCCGATGAAATAGTACAAGGGTTTACGGTGCAGTGTTTTTTCATCGAGGATTTAAAAAAGATTCAAATCTGCGAGGATAAAAATATCACAACTACAGAATTGGAGCACACGGTTCACAATCTAACATTTAACACGACATATTATTTTCGAGTACGTGCGCATACTAAAATTGTTGCTGGACCTTACACTGATTTAATCAATGTGTCGACTACACATGAAAATCCAATACCTAAATTATTACTAACAACGTATCTAGGTATCCAAATATGCGACATGGATTCACGCATCATTATTAGTTATGAAATGTCGCCACAGTATGTATACTGATAAAAAAATAGTTAGAATTATGAAATTATTTTTGACACTATAAAGTTAATGTTAATATTATTACTACGCACAAGTTCATTATTAACATTATAGCACAAGTTTATTATCAACATTATAGTAATAATAACTATAAAATTAGAAATCTCAAGTATAATTTTTTTAATATATTATTATAGTTAATTCCTTTTTTCAGAACAGAATTCATAGATGTCGTTTATTTGATACAAGAATATAGAATTTATTGGATAACCCGAAGAGACCTAAACACATTCAAGATTAATGAAAATACTATCACGAAAATATATAGCTTTGATCATGATCTACATCATCTCTGCGTTGACCGGATAGCAAGAAATCTATATTTGACCTATAAAGAGTCAGACTACTCTTACATTGTAAAATTCGACTTAACAATGTGGGAAAATGGCATAACTAAATTTGAAAATATTTTGAAAAAAAACTTTGTGAACTATTTAAATGTATTACCGTCTATGGGGTACGTCTACTACCGTTCGCCTGAAAAAACAATTTTCCATTAAAGATTTATGCAAATTTGTAACTTTTTTATAAAACGTATTTTACGTAGTTTTAAAATTAAGATCATAAGTAAAAAGACATAATAAGTTATATATTATTATATAATTATAAGAATTTTAAATTTTTACCACATATAAGTTCTGTTTTTGTTAAAATAATGTTTTATAATGAGTAAAATACTTATATATTTTTTAGAATTTTATATTGCATATTATACGATGGGATGAATGAAAAATATAATATTATGAAATATCATCTCGATGGAAAAAACGAGGAAATTGTTGAGATAAGTCATTCCTTTTTTCTACATTATTATATATATCCTTATAATAATATGATAATTGATAACATAAATAATGAAGAGTCGTTAATTTACTGGTTAAATGATGATAATATAATTGTAACAGACATTAATATTTCTAAGTTCAATCAGATTTTACACAAGGAAGACATAAGTGATGACATCAAATTCCGATCTATGACGATTGACAGAACAAACATTTACATTTTAACATATAATTCTCAGTTTGTATATACACTCTACGTTTTCAAAAAGAAATATGCAAGTCTCAAGAACGTCCCATATGAATACAAATATGTTATAAAAATACCAATAAGCTCAGATAAAAATGTGTTTTATAAAAACACATATATTTACGCTTTTGATAAATCTTCACAACCATATCCTCCAATGAGATGTCTGACATTTGACGAAAAAGTTTATAATTTTGAGAATGTGACTGCAACGACAAACAGCATTATTGTATATCTTCCGATGCCGGTTGTAAAGAGTGGATGCAAAAAATATAATTTACCAACTACTATATATACTATCTTCGTAAGCTGTTTAGACAACAATCTCAACAAGTCTGAAGAATTCACTGTGCTGACAGGCGAGCGACATTACAAGATTCAGAACTTAACACCATTTACAGAGTACAAGTTGAAGTTTACTTTAAGCAATTTTTACTTTGACCAATTATCAATAAATCCATTCGATTCGAACGTGATACGAATAAAAACTAATTTGGGCAAGCTTAATGTACCAGAAAACATAAGTGTTTTAGCTTTGACGCCTACTATAGCAGTAGTTCATTGGATGCCACCCAAGAAATTGAACTGCGTGGTTGTGACCTACGAAGTGCATTGGAAGTTAGTGAACGACACGCAACAAGAGAATAAACAATTTATCAATGTGCCGAAACGTATGGCAGACGGCAGATTTTTCACAAAGATTAACTTATCGCTACCAGTACAAGATTACTTGATATACGTACGTGTGTATCCAAGTAATTTCAGCGATTTCTACAACGAGAGTTTAAGCAAGATCGATCACATATACTCAGAACCAAATAATATTACTTTGAGCGGGGTCAACATAAATAGCATGAACATTTCATGGATCTCAAACATCAATCTGACGATCTTTTCTGCACTAGAGTACAAAGACGTTTCAACAAAAAAGTGGCAAACAACGAATGATATTAGAACGAATTATAACGAAGAAGTAATATACCATATCAAAAATTTACAATCGGGAACTTCATACCAGTTTCGCGTGATATTGAGATATCCCGAATATGAGGAAAATTTTACATGGCCAGCTGATGAAAGATTTAATTTTTCAACAGGTGGTAGCAAACGTGGTAAGCAAATGAAAATATCCATACAGCACAATAAGATTGCAGATATATTGAAGAATAATTTCATTGAAACATTGCAAATTAATTGCAAAACTTTTGCTGAGTCATTGTTATAAGATGTGATAAAGTTAAGATGTTCGCTTTTTGCAATGAAACATTGTAGCAATATTACAATTTAATATATTGAAAAGAATACAATGTTATTACAATCATTTAATAATATTACGTATAAAATATTTTTGTTTTTGATGGATAAATATCTTGAAAACATATAATTAAATTAAAAAGCTCAATACAAATAGAAGTTTGCAATATCTAAGATAATCATATCTAAGATAATATATTGCAAAATTATATTTAAACGTAATCATATAAAATATGTTTTTATACAAAATTACCTTAAACTCTTACTTACGAATCATTTTTTTTTTATTTTAAATGTTCTATATATTCTTCTAATGGGTACTTTATATATATATATATATTTTTTTTCTCTAATGGTTAATTAATGTTTATACATATATAAACATTAGTTATAGAATTAATTAAACATTACTAACTATATTTTTATTTAAAAATTTTAAAAATCTGTTATATTTATATTTATTTGTATGAGAAAAACATAAAAATATATCGAAAAATAAAAATGATAGATATAAAAATATCTATTCTTAATATAATAAAAAGATATCGTATTCGTACATAAAGTAAAAATATATCATAAAATATATTTTAACATTGATATAAAATGTTATCTATATTTTAATAAAAGAATAGAAATGCTTATGAAAAGAGATGCTTATCTTTAGCTTAGAATTGTATTTATTCGACTGATATTATTTCTGTGTCATTAATTCGTTTGACTTGTGCAAAAAAGTAAAATTTATCGCATATATATAAATATAAATATAAATTATTACAATATAAAAATATAAAAATATATATTATTACATTATTTTTATAGATAAATTAAAGAGTGTTATAGTTTCCCAATGGTTTCAAAATATTAATATTACATTGCTAATACCCAATTCATATTTTGTTAATTTATATTTCTACAATGTTTGTGTAATGTTGCATTGCAATTTGTGATATTGCAATATTGTTGCAAAGTAGTTGTAACATTCTGTGCTGCATAGATATTATAATATGATATACTAATATTTTTAGATGTGAATAGGCCTAAAATTTAAAAAAAATTAATTTTTGTAATAAAGTTACAAGTAAAAATAAATTTTTAAAAACATACACACACAAAGATATTAAAATTATATTTTTGCTTAATACAGATATTTCGGACACTCCTCGAATAATAGCGAAAACATATTACTCATTAATGTCAGGTTTTATCGTTATAGTTATTATAATCTGCCTCTGCTACTTTTATTATTGTAAGTATTGTACATTTGATGTTGGTATCAACTTGAATTGTTGATTATACGTATATCTGATATAATATCTAAAAATTTACTAAAAATAGTAATTTACTTATATAAAAGTAAACGAATAAATTTATTGAAAAACGAAAAATTTTATAATACATATTATTACATAATTAAATCGAAATTTTATAGTGGTGTATCGTGAACGCAGAAGTAATAATGATTTGACTACAATGACCGATATAGAATTGGGGATTCTACATGAAGTATCTTGCGAGTACACTCAATTCAATACGACTTACAGTTCTATGTTACATTATAATCTGAATGAATGTGCGATAACTAAAATTGCACGTAAACAGATTATATTTACAAAACTTATTGGTACCGGCGCATTCGGAATGGTAAAAATTTATGTTTTTAAGCAATGTTTCAAATTAATTTCTGAATCAACAAAACAGATATATATTTTCTAATAAAGATACAAATTATATAAATTTTTATAATAGATTATAAGTAATATAAAATTTGGATGAGACAACAAACATTCACTTTATTATATATTTTTCGTTAAATTATTTAATATAAAGTGAAATATAATATTACTTGACATTAAACTATACATTTTCTAATAAAGTACGCATGTAAATTTGTGTGAAATATTTCGCAGGTGTATCAAGGAAATGTGAAAAACTTAGAAAGTTCGGACACAGAGATGTCCGTTGCAATAAAAACGCTTCGGAAAGATCCTTCTTCACATGAGAAAAAGAGATTGTTAAAGGAAGCCGAGATTATGAATCGTTTTCGACACAAACATATATTAAGATTGTTGGGCGTTTGTTTAGATGGGATTTCTCCGTTTCTAGTGTTGGAATTCATGGAAACTGGTGATTTGTCAAGATATTTGAGAGATTGTCGAAATTTGGAAGCGTCAGATTCGCACGCTCTGCGTTTGCAAGATTTGTTCGCCATGTGCGAAGATGTTGCGCGAGGTTGTTGCTACTTGGAAAAAATGCGTTTCGTACATAGAGATCTAGCGTGTCGCAATTGTTTAGTATCTTTGAGAAATCGTGAGAATCGTATTATCAAAATTGGAGATTTTGGATTAGCTAGAGATATCTACCAGAATGATTATTATCGCATGGTAAATACAATTATTAAGTAAAATTAAAAAATGAATTCTTTTTAAAATACTTTCAATTTTTATATCATAATAGTATCGTACATTGTTTCTTCAAGTAATATGGAATATAAATAGTTTTTATTTATATATGGCAAGAGACGTTTTTCTTTTTGCACATATTGTAAAAATGAACAACTTGAACCAGAAAATTAAATGTTTTAATGTTTTAATTTTGTTAAAATCATGTTTTAGGGAGGAGAAGATTTACTTCCTGTTCGCTGGATGGCACCCGAATCTTTGATGATCAGAATATTTACTTCTCAAAGCGATGTTTGGTCATTTGGTGTTTTAATGTGGGAAATTACATCGTTAGGTGACAGACCTTATGTTGCCAAGACTAATGCGCAAGTGATAAATTATGTACTTGCTGGAGACAGGTTACCGATGCCTCTTAACTGTCCGTCCGCATTGTACCAGTTGATGCTACGTTGCTGGAGTGCAGCGGATGCTAGACCAAATTTCGAATTTTTTTTGAAAAATATTATAGCATTAAGAAAGAACATAGAAGATGCCTTACTGAATCCAGTCGATATTCTTTAGCCGATATAATTAAATTAATGTTTCTCTTCTTTTCGGTACGATTCGATAAATCTTAATGTAGGAAAAATATATAGATGTTGCAAAATATTGTAAATGTCTCTTCTTTTATATAAAATATAAAGAATTTATATGTACCATTCTATTATAGCCCTTATTTATATATTTTTATTATAATTTTGATATCAGTATAATATTTTTAAGCTTAATTTGCTTTATATAATTAAATTATAAAATTTAATATAATTACAAAATAATATTATTATTTATAAACAGATTGTATGCACACAGTCTTTTAGTTTCTAATCATTTCCAATCGCATTTCTATCCAATATATTTTCTTCGAGTTCTTGGATTGTTATTATGGTTTATTGTATTCCTTTGTTTTAACATCACAAAGATTATCATCACTTGTCATGTTTATTTCTTTCTGTGCAGTTCTGCGGAATATTTAAATCTCTCACATTTAAGATATATTCAAATCACTGTAATTGCCTTTTATTTGTTTCCTCGATTACTATCTCTTTTTCTTTTATTTTATTCAAAAATATTAATGTAATTAATATAATATATTAATTAACATATAATTTATTACGCAAAAATGTCCAAAATATACGTATAATACGAAATTTAGTAAAAATTTTTATACAGTTTAGACAAGCCTGATAAGCGATGATTAATTACGCGACATTTATCATTAATAATCTATATGAAATAATAGAATATAATAAGTAGAATAATAGAATAATAGAATATAATAAGAGCATAATTTATCTATTTATTAATTTGATAGAATATAATAAGTTTTATATAACGTAAATAATCGTGATTAAAAGAGTCATTAATAAAATTATTGATCATTTCTTCGATTGTAGAAGAAAGTATTTACATTACTGGCATCTTGTGTGTAGATTATCAAAGAAAATATTCAAAACGCGAAAAAATAAAATGAGCTTTGATGTAAATCAACAATTAAATTACAAAATAAATCGCGATTTAAAATTCGCGAGAAAACACGACGAATAAATCGATAATATTCAAAATATTCATATTGCGTATAATTTTTATAATATAATAATCGAAGCCATCAAATACGCTGGTGACAAATCAGTAATAAAAAGAGGATTGATTTTTAAATGGAAAAAGATTAACATCTTGTTTCTATATCAGATTTCGCAAGATCAATCTATGAAGAAAAATTAAGTGATCCATTGAACGTCGGGAATTTTACTGTAGGAGGAATCCCGGATCTTCCGGACTATTCCCAATAGCAATGATTTCATTTACTAAATCAACGACAATTATCCCTCGTCATTATTTTCAATTCACGAAATTGATATTCACGTTAGAAAACATGTTCTTTCATTATTAAGAAATATATTTCTTTATTGAAAATTAGCATCGAATTTTTACATTTGATATAAAAATTTTCCGAATTTATTAATGACTCTTTGACATGAATATACAAACCATTACTTTTTTATGAATATTCCAAAAATAAATATACTATAGAACAAACACTTTAATTTAATGAATTACTATTTTGTTAATTACTTAATTATGTAATCATTATACGTATACTTTCTAATTTTTCGTGTTATTTACATAAGAATTTTGCAATTGTAAATATAATTTTATAATACAATAATATAATTATAGTCATAATTGTATTGTATTTTACAATTAAATTTCAATGTTAGATTACAATTAAAATATAATTATATAATTATTTATAAATTACAATTTACAATTTACAAATTTATGATGCTATAATATCAAATAATAATATTCCATTTATTCAAATATTTAATAACATCGATATAATAATTTGATATTGATAGCATTAACATTTGGATTTAATATTATATTTGATTTAAAACGCATATATTTTTTAAGTTTTAAAATAAAATATAACATGTTAAGATTTCTTAAACGTTAATAATTGTGCAATTATTTCTTTAATATTTCTGGAAATAATTTTGATAATTTAAATTTTACTTTTAAAACATTTTTATTCTTAAAACATGTTATACTTAATTTCACAACGTCTTTAAAAATAAATTCAACTTAATTAAAATAATTTTAATTTACCACTAGGATTATTGGAATATTAAAAGAAAGAATGAATCTTTCTTAATAGCCCTAACAACCCTATTAAAAGATTCTAATCATTTTAATAGCTCTAACAATCTTATTATTACAAAATTCTAATGATCTTAAGAGCCCTAACAACCCTAATATTAATAGAAGGATTCTAATGATTTTTCTTAATAGCCTTAACAATCCTACTTCCTGATTATCTAAAATTATTCGAGATTTGAAGAACCTATCTCTAATCATCATCTCACCTAATCATGTATATATTTTAATCACGTGCCCTAACCGTACTCTTCAGGTCAGTTGAACCTACCTTTCGTTGATCCTGGCCACTTTCTTTCTCGATCTCTAATCAGAGATCGAAGAAGGAAATAATTACTCCTTTTAATGATAATTCCGGATAATTACTGACAAAAGAGCGTAAAATATTTACGCTCATTTAGTAACGATCGTTCGATTTTACAATCGCTCGTTAAATACTGAATATAACTTTATTTTAACTGAAAATTACTACAAATTACTACAAATTTCTATAAATTATATCTTATAATAAAATACATAATTAATGTGTGTATATTTATCATATTACAAATTATTTAATTAATTAATCATTTGGCTTTATATTAAGTTAGTAAAGTTTAGAAACAATATCTACAAACAAATTCTACGATGGATGAGCTATGAGCAATTAGAAGATAAGTGCGTATTATAAGAATAAATTAGCATCAAAAATTGATAAAATTGATAATTGTTAATGAGTGTCCTTTATTTAATAAATTAGACAAAATCTTTACAAAAAAATAATATTGTCTTGATCTCTTCTTTTTTTAATTAATATTTTAATATATTTTCTCAATAGATGTAAAGCATAAGTTCGAAAGAACTTATTAAACTTATTTAATTTAATTTAATGAATTTAATTTAATTATTTAATTTAATTTATTTAATTCAATCCATTCTAGCTCATCCATTTTATGGCAACGGATTTATCCGCAATCTACAATCTACATTTGCATGTACATCTCTACGAATCCGTTATCATAAGTTAAATAAAAGTTTTTCGCACTCACCGGCACTGATGCGCAACAGCGGAGTTGTTATTATCGAAGCTAGTTACCTGTAACATACAAATATAAAATTTATTTATAATAATGCTCACCAAATGCAATCAATACTTCAAAAAATTTTTATCGCGCGGAATTTTATATCCGATGTGTAAAATAATAAGCAGATAAACACGTATGGAAAAATTTTATAAATTTTTGAAACTCTTTTTTAAATAGAAAATTTTATGAGTTTTATAAATCTTTCTTTTTAATTCATTTAAATAATAAGATCGAATTATTGTTCGTTTATAATAAGTTAACGATTCTTAACAATTAATATACAAACAATAGATATTTACCATCAGGTTGTTCCGCCGATGCAAGATGCCTCTCCCAAGCCTCCTCCTCCGCTCATGTTGTTGGCGAGCGAAACATTTAACGACACTCCCGCACTCACGAGCGATATTTTTATATCGCTATTTTCGTTATTTTACGCGCGATACTGAACGGCACGCCCGCACTATTTCCATGCGATTAAAAATTTCATATTTGATCGCGCGCTGTATATACTTAATATGTATATACTTTTAACAGCACTCTCGGTTTCGGTACGAGCGTAAATCCCATTTCACTTACAAGAATCCACTTCGAGTCAACAGGTCGGCAAACTCGAACATCCCAGTTAATTGGCATCGGAAGTAGAGACTCGTGACAATAAATGAAATTGGGATTTTATACGAAAAAGTCCAAAAGTTCCGCGAAAACGCGACAACGCGAGAATATTACAACGCGAAAACACCACGCGTTGACGAAGCGCTTGCCGTCCGTGGCACGTTGATGGCACCGACGACGCGAAAGGGTACTTAGCTTCCCATTCAGGCACTTTAAGATTTATCATAAATTGAAAAATTTAAGATAAACCTCAAGGCACCATCCAAGTACTAAGCCCTCCCACCGCGACAAGGTGTACCCCATGGGAGAGTTATATTATATTATATATAATTTTATATATAATATAATATATAATTAATTTTGTAATATACTATATAAATTTTAATTCGCAAATATAAACGATAAATAAAAGATAAGAGAAAATCTATTATATAAAGCAATGCTCAAAATAATTGTTAGAGAGAGAATTTGATAATATATAAAACGTCACTACTTTATTGTTCAAGGTTATTGTGCGAATGATCGTAAGTCATAAACATTACCGCGATACTGTTTATATCGCCAAGGCCTACTTATACTATGTTATTGTTATAATCTATTGTTATATTCGTCGTTGAAATATTCTACGAGTGATTGCCGATTAAGAAAATTTAAAGCATTGATGGAAATTACTTAATATTCTAAACACATTTTCGGAAACTCTTCGTGCGCGTGAGAGACGATAATTAAAAATTCTTTTCGATCTATCTTCCTGAATTTGTGAACTAGGATATAGTCTCAGAAGATATTTTTCGATCAATTTTAATAATTCATAAAATTTACATTGCGGCATTCTAAAATATTGGTAAAATTTATCGTCATATTTCAGTAAATCTTTGAATAATGTCCAATGCTCTCCTTCAAGTTTTTTCTTTTTTAATATTGGTCCCATTTTCAGCTTCTTTTCTTTATTTTTTTGACTTCAGCTTCGTCTTCGTTTAAAAGTAAAACTATAAGAGCCAATTCATTTTGTCGCTGAATGATTCATCCATTTTATAATTTGTAACTGCTAAATATCAACTGACGGACAGTTGCCGAAGCAGTCTGAACAAATGCAATAATTTGTCGTGCCGGTGCCGGTATCGTTGCCGATACGTGTCGGTCCGTGCCGTATAGTCTGAATCGAAAATTCAAATTCTTATTTCGTATCGTTATCGTATCGTTTTCTTATTATTAATTCTCTTATCCCCTTGTA